TCCTCAGAGCAGTGAACGAAAAGCCCCTATGCCTGCCTGTCTTGGGTATCAGCCCATGCCTGTGGTATACCTACACTGGTCACTCCCATAGGTTTTGTTTTAATTTGAATTTCCCTGTAACGCGGTGTGGAACATCTTTTCATTGGAGAGCATCTATTAGGTTTGGGGCATGATTTTAATTGGGTTGTTTGTTTCCTTTTGGGGGAGTTTTAAGAGTTCTCTGTATGTTTTGGATCATACTCCTGCCATCACAGCATCTGCAAATATTTTCCCTTAGTCTCTGTCTTCTCCTTTGAATACCACAAAGTAGCTTTTGCCTAGTAAAAATGTTAGAAGCTAGGTTTAAATGTTCATCAAATACAAGGACGTGGGATTTTGAGTGTCCTAGTTAGCTTTCTGATGCTGTGATAAAACACTCTGGTTGAAAACAGCTTGGGGAGGAAATGGTTTATTGCATTTTATACTTCAAGGCACAGTCTATCTTTGAAGGAAGTCAGGCAGGAACTCAGGGCAGGAACCTGGAGGCAGGAGCTGAAGCACAGGCCATGGAGGAATGCTGCTTTCTGGCTTGCTCCCCTGGCCTCTGCTCAGCCTACTTTCTTATACAACCCAGGACCACCTGCCTAGGGGTGGCACTGCCCACAGTGGGCTGAGCCCTCCCACTTCACTCAACAATCAAGAAAATGACCAATCCAATAGAGGAAATGCCCAATTAAGATGACCTCTTCCCAAGTGTATGAAGTTGACAACCCAAGTCAACCATGACGTTGTTATAGGACAGACTTACAAGCTAACTGATCTTGAGGGAACCATTTGACCCTCTCATCTTCGGCCCCCATCCACAGGGTCAGAGCTTTTAATATTTACCCCAGACCTAGGAAGATGGCTCCATCAGTAAAGCACTTACGAAATAAGTATGAGAACCTGAGTTCGATCCCAAGAACCCATTTCTAAAAAGAAAAGGCCAAGCATGTGAATGTATGCTTGCAATTCTAGCACTGGGTGGCTGGGGCAGAGAGATGAGGATCCTTGGGGCTGGTGAACCAGCCAGCATACCAGCCTAGCCTACTTAATGAGTTCCAGGCCAGTGAGAGAACTTGTTTCAAAACAAAAGGTAGATAGTACCTGAGGAACAAAACCCAACGTCGTCCTCTGACCTCCCCATGCACACCAAGAGACACAGACACACACAGACACATACACACACACATTTACCTTTCCTCTTAATAATTTTATTCTGAGGACTAAAACTGATATTGGGAAACAGAGTTGGATAACTCTGGAAGCTGAAACAGGAAGATTGTCATGAGTTTGAGGACAGCCTTGGCTACATGGTAAATTCTAGACCAGCCTGAGCTACATAATGAGACCCTGTCTAAAAGAAAAAGTAGGTAAATATAAACATACATGTAAACCTTCAGGAATTATGAACTCATGAATAAGCTTTTTCAACTTCCTCTTAATTTAATATAACCCTCTTAGGGTTATATGGTTCAGTCTATACTAGAGAATGTTCTGTTTTTTTGCATCTAAAGTGGAAGGAAACTTGCTTTGGAGTGTGTCAGCATCAGCACTCACAGGATAACAGGAAGGTAGGAGTTCTAAACTTTCTGTTGTTCTTAGAAAAATGGAACAGAGCAAATGTACTCACTGTGTTATTCAGAGTGTAAATAATACATTCTAAAATATAATTATCACTTGGATCTGTAACAGATAGCTACATCTTCTAGTTATGTATCTATCAAATTTTCATTTTAATAGTGATGACTCATAATGAAATTTGCATCCATCCTTCCATTCATTAAACCATTCCACTTGCTGGCAGCGCCTGTAAGCTGTGTGTACTGGAAGCTGGAAGCTGTGTGCGCATGATCATCTGCCCCTCACCCAGTCTGTGGTTCTCAACCTAATATTTGTTAACACACACAAATTCTTTCCAGAACAAGTTTTCTCCTGTGCATTCAGAGAGCAGATGCTGTGGAATTGTTATCAAGTTACAAAGGTACCGAGCGTTCTTGTTGAATGTGGCTGATGACGCAACTCTAAAATATCACTTCAGAGCCCGCCTTTTGCTGGCCCACACTTCATTCTCCAGGGGGCTACAAGGGAAGGCGATGCTGGTGACAAGCCTTGGTCCTCGCGTTGGCTGCTTTCAAAGTGATAGAGCAAGCTTTCAACATACCTGGTGTCAGTTTCTCTTCCTGAAGGAGTGGACCTGAAAGACATTCTATTGTCTGATTCTTCAGCATGGAGTAGAACTAAAGAAACAGTCCCTGGGATCCACAAGGCAAACAAGGGAACCTCTCTAGCTGGTAGGACTCGTCTGCACCCCCAGTCCAGTATTTTGTTCTCTCTCTCTCTCTTCTCTCTCTCTCTCTCTCTCTCTTGGAGGAGTGAGGGAGCTCTCAGAGGGCTCTCTCTCTCTCTCTCTCTCTCTCTCTCTCTCTCTCTCTCTCTCTCTCTCTCTCTCTCTGTTCAGTTATAGCCAACATTTATTTTAGGAGTTCTCTTTGTAAAGAGCTTTACTTCCCTCTGATGATGTACCCATGCCACATCCCTGCAGGCTTGCAATAACATTGCAGACCTTTCATTCCCCACAGGATGCTCAGCCAGGCTAACAGTTTCAAAACCAGGTCTCTTCACTCCAAAGCCTATGCCCCCTTTCAATGCTGGGCCACCTGGAGAACCCTGCCCCTCGGTCTCCCTCTTAGATTTCTTTGTCTCCCTTCTTTTCTTCCTTCCCTCAGTTCATGTTCCTCCTCCTCTTCAGGAAACTGTCTTACCTGACCACACACCAGGGGGAGCACTCGCCATTGCTGAGGGGAGCACTCACCATCGCTTCCTGCTTAGAGAGGTCTAGACAACACACTTCCTCTAATCTTTCAGGTACAGAACCTCATTAAAGCATCCCTAACATCCCTGGCCTGTCCCACCTCTCACTGTGTGAAGACAGATGGCAGGGTTGGAGATGACTAACCACAGGAGGGCTGCAGAGGGTCCAACGGGTCAGCTTCCGACTGGGAGCCTCCCCTCCCCTCCTCCCCATCTGCCTCCCTCTCTTCTGTTTTCTCTTCTCCCTCTTCCTCTACCCCTCCCTCCAATTCACACACACAGTACTTCCAGTGGTATCCAGCCTATCATTTGGAAAGATACTTGGGGTGTGATTTATACAACTTCCCACATTTTTAAAGACAGTATCATAAACATATTTTTCTCCTGGCATAATCCTTTCTCCATTACAAATATTGGATGATATGCTTGCCTACAAAAACAGGATTTCCATACATCCCTGAAGAGTTTCTTCTCAGTCGTTTCATTTTGGAATGTCTGTGCCCTCACTCCGGTGGTATGAATTAGTCCAATTTAAACAGTGGAAGTAAGATACTTAAGGCAATAATCATACATTTCTTGAATCCTTAGAACTGTGAATATATAATGATTCTGGTAAGAAATAATTGCTCTCAGATGATCTCAGGTGGCTTGTAGACGATCTAGAAACAGAATCTGAAGAATTTAAAATATGAAAGAAGTCTTTTCTCCATTGTAGCAACTCAGTGGACAGGCTCATCCTGCAAAGCTCGAATTGCGGAGTATTCTGACTCAGATTTTGCTCCAAGGAAATCACCATAAGGAGACTCAATTAGAATGAAATATGATTATGGTTTGTGACACAAGGAGACTTTTTTTTCCCCACCAAATCACATTTTATTCCCAAAAGAAACTTTGGCCCGTCAAGTAACAACCAAAATTCAAATACAATCAGGGCATATTCAAACCAACAGCCAGGAGCTTTGAAAAGAGAGAGGAGGGAAAGCAATGTCTTTCATGAGCAATTCCAATGTTCAGTTCTCGCATAGAGTAGAATGTGGATCAGGTCATTGCAGCACCTCCAGATAGCAAAATGATTAGTAATTAAGCAGGTGTGACTTGTAATTCCGCCCTTCAGCTTCCAGTCCAGTGGCTCACTTTGTTGCCCTCCACCTAGTTTCCATCCCAAGCCCCCATATGGAATGTTTCCATCCAGATCACATCTGCTGCTCTGGAAGCCCCCTCTCTTGGAGCCGACCACTCAGTTTCCATAGTAACTACTACAAAACCATGGCACCCAGGGTTGTAGGAGTAAGAGAAAGAAAAACAGAAGAAAGGGACTCAACCTGGGGAATGGGGGCATAACACATTCTCTGCCAAGAACTTGTGCCTTCCTCTTTGGAAGGAGACTTTTCAGGGTAATTCTCTCCAGCCACACAGTTCCCTGCTGTCTGGAAAGTCTTCATCTGCCATAATCAGGATTGTGCAAAGGCATCAAGACAGTGCACCCGTCCCAGCCCCTCCACAGGACATTCATTCTTTTTGCATCAACAATAATGGAGGGTGGTGTGTGGCCTCAAACTGGAGCACAGGGCTTTGTGATCCAATCCACGTTGTTGTCATGACTTACTCCACTCAGTGGCCCATGTTTTCCATTTGATACAGCATTTGAGACATTATGTAAATAAATATATACCATAAGGACATTTAGCTGGATAACTTTCATTCTTTGAACAGATGTTTTCTCCTTGCTTTAGTAATAGCTTGGTTTTTTTGTTGTTGTTTTTTGTTTGTTTGTTTGTTTGTTTTTCTAGCTGAGAAGAGCCAGAGTCCCTTGCTGGGAGTAAGAAGATCTTTGGGGGATCCCAAAGGCATTTACTCCCAAGTTCCCTTTCCCTGTAGAGAACCTTATTTAGTAGAGTTCTTTCTCCTGCTGTTAGAGGCTTTGGGAATCTGATCCAGTAGGCAGGGTGTTGTCGGAGGGAAAGAAGTCGAGCAGGCTCACTCCTTTTCCAATATGAGAATTCGAAAGCAGTGGGGAAACGATGCTGGACCTATCCCAGGCATGCTAGCAGACAGCCTATTACAGTATTTAATAAAAACAGAAGCAGCGTGCCTATCATAGGCTAATAAATCCCACCTCCGGCACGCTTTAAAAACAGTCTGAAGCAGCTTCCAGGGAGCTTCGGGTAACTAACCCTAGGCATGGCTATCTAGGCTGCCCGTCACTCCTATTGTCCTCCCAAACTCTTTCAGACATTTTGAGCCAGGAGTGTTAAAGCTCTGAGTTAGGAGAGTATGACATCAATGGTCCACAAAGGCTGCCAGCCCAGCGAGGAGGCAAAGCCCGAGGACTGCGCGGGATCACCATCCTTAAAAATTAAGCTTGGCTTTTGAGGAAGATGTGACAGCCACCAGAGGTAGGATTTGCATGTCAAACAAAGGAATCTGTTGCTGCTTGCTGCTTTTGTTTGTGTGTCTGTTCGGTGCCCTGTGGGTCCGGGATTGCAGCCAGGTGCGAGGGAGAGGCTGGAGGGCGTGGGGTCCTATCAGCTTGGAGCTCTGAGCTGACCAAAACGCGGTGGACAGTGTGAGGTTTTATGGCAGAAAAGCCTCGCGGACAGACTGGCTCAGGCTGGTTCACAGCCTGCTGAGCGTGCATTCCACGTTGCTTTTGGCGGAGTGGAAGGCTTAGAGGTCATGGGGAAAGCAGTTTGCTCCTAACCAGTGGAGCCAGATGGGCTAAGGAAGGGCCGAGGGAGGACTTTGATGGGTGGGAGGCAGAGCCAGGAAAAATAGAGGAGAAAGCCATCCTCCAGACTTGAAACCTGTTAGGTAAATATTTTATTCCTGTGGTCAGTATGCTTTGGTGGTCAGAGGGTCATTTGGAAGATGATGGATTTCCCCCCCAAAAGAACTATTTGGGGTTTAATCTATAAAAGAAAACTGGGTTCCTTCGTCCATCTTGCATATGGAGAGGCTGATCCTCACTGTTTGCTAATTGTTTTACTAAAAGCAGATGAGTTTGAGACCAAACAAGGGGCTTTCTCCTGGTCCCTATTCTTGATTTTGAAAAACTGCGGTGCTGCAGATGGAAATGGTGATTTGGTGGAGGCTAAGGACTTGACCTTTTACCTTTCGTGTTTTTATTTTGCTAACGGATAGCTTAAAAGCATAATTCTCCTTGAGGATGAGAGAGACCCTTGGTTCCAAAGTCCAGGGGGCAGTGAGCAGATTTGACCAGGAGCTTACACCGCCCCGTACTTTACAGGGATCTATAAAACTGTCTGAAAAGGAAATGTAGCAAATCCCTGGCCAAGATTTCCGAGGCAAAAGCAGAATGATCCAAAACCCACATTTCTGCAATTTGATCTGACGTGCCCGTTTCCTTCCGTCATTGCGTGTGACCCCCGGTGTGGAGGGAGAGCAGTCCTCCTCTTTGCATCCTTTCCCAGTGGACTTCACAAACTCCCAGGTATAAAGATGCTGCTTTCTATTTTGAAAAACTCTAGGTTGTGATGCGTTGATTTAGCTGTGATGAACAGGGGCAAAGATCCTTAAAGAATCTCCACTTAGAGTGACATTCTCCACATGCATCGGTAGCGTCTGTTGATGCTGTTAACTAGAAAAAAGTGTGAAGGCAACTATGTTGTATTTGTTTTCAACTGAGTACTGGGATTAAGGCTGAGTGGGGCTTTGATGCTTCTCTGATGTGCTTGAGTGCCTGTGTCTGTGAACTCCTGTATATGCAGTACCGTTCACATCGCTGCCCCATGGTGGGAGACAGCGAGGCTTGAAGTTGTGTGTCAGTTTCTCATAACAGTGTGACACACTGAGCCAGCTGATCTGTCCTGGCTGGTCTTTCTGTGACCAGGAGCACATGGTCATGAATAATTGGAATTCCTGATATGATTGATGGCTAAGATATAGCTTTCTGCTTCTTTGTGGTCCATGGAGTGTGTGACCTTGACCTTGTAAAGTCCCAGTCTCTCGTCAGTTGTGCTAAACAGTGAAGAATCTGTATCTAGAAAGAGACAGCTTGGACTTCTCAAACTGCTGGCAGAAGTTGGCAAGTGGGAGCTACTGTTTTCCTTGATTTTAAAGACTTTTACTGGCACAAGTCTTACCAATCTATCTGAATCTGATCGTATTGAGTATTTCTTTGAGTGGTAATTCATGCTGTGAAAACATCAGTAGGAGTGATTTCACTGTGGTCGGACTTGGAGCACTTCACTGATAAACTTAAATGATTTTCACCATGTGCACAGATTCAGAGGGGAAATTCCTGCATTCAGTCTGGTTAGTGTGTGTTAGTCTAGACTGCGCCCCCACAAAAATCAAAAACAGGAAGAAACAGGATGATATTTTTCTTTATCAGCTCCAAGGAAGGGCAAGCTGAGTAATTCAGTAAAACAATCTACTTTGTGTGATAAATTAACTTCATTGCCCATTTATGTTGGTAGATATCAGCCAAACATCTCTGATCTCTGTACCCTGTTCCATCTAGTGATGAAAAACAAACCCTTCTCCAGCCACTCAGAAAGTGTACCTGGCATCTACCCTGACGTAACAAATAAACAAGGCGTCCATCTGTCTGTCGTGTTATGTCAGTCCTGCTGGTAGCACAGTCAGGGGATCAGTCACCAAGGCACTGGGAGTCTGCAGCTTCTCTGTTCTACACAGTCATCACTCTGCCTGGATGGAAGATACTGGACCCCACAGTCCTCACTCTGACACAACCTCCTCTCCCAACATCACTCTCCTCTTGGAAATATGAAAAATGAACCTTCCCCCACAAACCCCTGCTGTGGCATCAAGCAGGAAAGCAAAATACACTAATAAATATGCAATACAGCCCCGATTACAATAATGTAGCTACATTATATACATTATATATAATGTATCTGATTACAATGATGTAAATGCAATATAGACATTATAATAATGTAGATGCCGTACATTCCCAGATTTTTAGGCAATTATGTGTGAATGAAAAAAAAAAAAACTAGAGAAAGTGAACCAAGCTGCCTGTAACAGTTGTCAGTGTGCTTCCTGTGTTCCATTCCTGCTTCGCATAGTTGCCAGAGTGCTTTGTGGAGAGAATGTGTGATACTAATAATCACAAGGAGACCACATCATAAAAGTTTCCCACCTCTCCTTTTCCACCCATGGTAGCGTCTCAGTTCATACTCCATCTTCGTCTAAAATTCCAAAGTCATTTGCTTGTCCCAGCAAGACAGAGCAGAGGTGATGTTTCTCTGCGGGGCCTCCTTGGGTGTCTTGATTAACTATGAAAAGCTCAATGTCATCCCTTCTCAAACACGGACTCTTCTTCACAGAGGCCATCTAGAAGAGAGGTTCAAGTGTGCATGTCTGTGCCTGTGTGTGTGGGGGGGGTGTCTATGTATGTGTCTGTGTGTCTGAGTGTGCCTGTTTGTCTATGTGTGTGTGCATACATGTGTGTGCTTGCGTGGATGTGTCTGTGCATGTGCACGTCCCTGTGGGTGCATGTGTGTGTCTTATATGTATGGGTCTGTGCATGTCTGTGTGCGTAAAATTTTTTTTTAAGATTTATTTTTTATTATGTGTGTGTATATCTGTCTGCATATACAGGTATATGCATGACAGTACGGGTGCCCTGGAAGCCAGAGCCATCAGATCCACTGGAACTGAAGTTACGGGGAGTTGTGAGCTTCCCAACCTGGGTGCTGGGAACTGAGCTTGGGTCCTTGGCAAGAGCAGTAAGTGCTCTTAACCACTGAGCTATCTCTACAGCTCCCTCTACTTATTTAAATGGGAACTATTTTCAAACTCCTTTTCTCTTCTGAATCTTAAAACGTCGGAGCATTCCATGGATCAACTATAATCTCTTTATTATATATATTAAAGCTCTAAATAAGTCAGTCCAGTCCAAAGACCTTCAGGACTATCTGTACACACTCAGCTCACAAACTCTAAGTCCTGAGCTGGGCTTCTCTTCTCCCCTCCCTACTTTCACAGTTAACATCCTACATACGATGTACTTAAATGTCTCAGAGGTACCTGACTCCTACCATGCTCTCAATCAGACTTCTGGACTCCCACCTGAAATGTCTTCTTTCCTTCGTCAGTGGAAACGCCACCTGCTCAGAAGAAACATCTGGAAGTCCCCTTTGAACCCTCCCGTCCCCCACAGGCCATCGAGAACCCCGGTGCCCGGAACTTTGGTGCAGACCTGATTCCGTCGCGTGTCCTTTACTTGTCACCAGCTCTCAGAGTGTTGCATTTTGCACACTCTCTTTCCCTTTTTGCACCAACACCAGTGGTTGCATCAAAATTGAAATTAAGTAAACCTCGGCCCACAGGTCCCATGCTGGCTGGTCTCCCCTCATCACTCCCGTCCACTCCAGCCATGCTGGCTGCCTGGGCGAGCCCTCAGACCCACCCACACTCTCAAACCTCACAGTCTTGGGCTCTGCCATCCCTGCTGCCTAGAACATCCTTCTAGCCATCTTGACTGACCCTCAGTTTTTCTGATCTCTGACGAAAGGCCTTGTATGAGATAGGCCCCTTAGGAGGTAAGTGCTCAGTCAGCAATGTCCAAATGAACAAGCACGTTGCTGGGTGTAGGAACTGAATATATTTTCCCCCTTAAATCCATTCCCAGTGTTAGATCCCAAGCCTGGTTTTTTCAGCCTCCGGAGGCAAGCTCTGTGTCTTCGTATCCTGTTGCTTTTTCCAAAAAGTCGCCAAATACCTTTGAGAAACTCAAGGAGATTTACTAAGAGGATTTTCATTCTGCACAGGAGGGCAGAGTTGGGGGGAAGCACATCACTGATTCCGATCTGTGTGGAAGGGAATACAAATTCAATCTGTCTGAATGTGATCTTATCCAAAAGATGACTTATAGTTCAGGAGATCTTTACAGGTCTCCTACACAAATGGCTATGGATGCAGACACATCCATTTCCCCTGCTTCCCCTGTCCACCGGGAAGGAACAGCCAAGCGGGGTTAGAAGGTTCCTGGCTGCCAATAATTGTCCTATTAATTTAAATTCTCCCCAGTCCACATCGTACAATCCCATGGTCTATTCAACAGTGTGTTCAAACACTTACAAGGTATATGTTTTCAAATAACCAGAGTGCAGTACATAGCCTCAGTTCTCAAATTAGGTATAAGTGGTAAAGTCCAACATGTCTGCCATGTTTTGTAGTCTAAGGAGGTAGTGTGCTGCGGGAGGAAAACAGCATCCAAGAACAAAACCCTGGTCTGAATCTCACTTCTATTCTACTTTATGGTGTTGTTCCCTTGAGCAAAGTTTTACACCACACTGAGTCTTGGTTTCCTCATTGGTGTTTGGTGCTAAGAATTCCCAGCTTTTCGGGTTGAAGATTAAAGGTGATGGTGTATGCCTCCTCCTCACCACAGTGGTTGGCACAC